CAAATACTATAGGTCATTTTTAAAATGTAGAAAATAGTTCTTTAAATCAAAAATTAATCAACAGAGAAATTTTCAGTTCTAATCTCAGGTTTTTCATTATTGGGAGAAGTCCAAGTGCTTAACGGTAACAGTAACTATGATGAGGGTCTTTATATTTGCATGTGGACTCAAAACTGGTTGAGAAACTGAAGTGGCGACTGTAATCAAGCGACAAACATGAGCAAAGTAAAAATTATTTGTAGTGAAGAGAGATATTATTTCAATGAAGTTAATGACTGAAAAACAAAGTGCTAGTGAATCACTGAATGTGTACCAATACCTAACACTCCGTGATCCATGCTGCAATCTTATCGGCGACTGCTTCCCCATGTCTTACTACGAATGCGTGATCGCATTTGTCGTCGATGAAAACTAATCCTATAAATGATTCGTTAAAAATCGTTTATGATGACGAGTGGATAATGTGATATTTTATCTAGGTATGGAAAGTTACTGAACTTTGTATTTCTTTGATGTAATGAAAGTGTTTATATCACGACGAGAAATTAAACATTTAATATAGTACCACGTCCAATTCTTCTCTGCATTTCTGAAGCATAATGTAAAGGACACCACAAATCACCTGTACCATACAAGAAACGACAACGATCACTATGGTGCAACAGAGCTTCGTCCAAAGTGGCAACCTAAACTTTTTATTATAAACCAGTTTCTACAGAGCTTGGCAAGTGCATATTCTACATACAAGAATTCTAACCACTGTTATGGAAATGAATACTTTCATATGGGAAAAGAAACCGTGTGCAGCTCATCCTTCGCCATGAAGACTATGTTGCGAATAACGTTTATATCAACGAGCTCAGCGCTGCTTTCCAGAATACATTGTGGGACTTTTTCGTCACTTTTCATGCACCAAGCGCAAATGTATTTTTTCACGAAATTAGGCATAGAAGATAACCAGAAGAAAAGACTTTTAATAACACTGTCCCATTCACAAAGCTTCTACAACTTGAAATTTCGCACAAAAATTTTAAATTCCCTTGAAAACACCGTGAAATAAAGTTTAAAACAATGTCTTGAATATAAGTCATCTAGACAGTTTAGTACATATGAAATAGAAGAAGAGCGTATCATATATATTAAATGTAATTGAATTTGAAGCTAGGAGACAGATATATATATATATATATATATAT